AACAGTTCCAATGCGAAAAAGAGCGCGGGGACTCACACCGACGACGACAACATCCCATTCCAATGGTTTGTTTATGGGCGACGGCGAGCTTCTTGCCCTGTGGGCAAGAAGCTCGTCGTCGGTGGCGTCTGCTAGGGGCGTTCCGGTTTGTTTGTAAACATGATTTGGTATATATATATGGAGTTTTTCTTAGACCGCATTTCCCCTTCCGCTAAGCCCTCCACAACGAAGAAGCCGCTACGGCGCCTGCGCGCTGATGGCCTTGGCTGTAGAGTTCCGGGTATCGTAGTGGGTTGTGGAGAGCGTTGCGGGACGGCAAAAACGATCTACGGAAACTCCCTAACATACTGGTTACGTACTGCGTGCTTAACATTTCTTACGAATGAGGAAAAAAAACTGTCACATATTCTGCGCCACATTTTTCTAGTCAGCCTTATTCTCGAAATTTGTTTTGTGATATGCTGCCGGGTATACGCACCGCAATAAGAGTACTGTTTGGTGACTCCCAGTCCCTTGAGCACGCATGCGCTGAAGGCGCTTCGGGATATGTTGAGCGGCGCTCCGGTTCTCCACACGTCGTTGTGGTGACTGTAGCACTCCACGTCGGACACCGTCGTCGTGCCTGGAAACGGACGAGATGTGCCGGCCATCAACGTCAGTTGCGGAAACGAAAGCGTGCAACGAGCATTTGTTCGTTACATGCGATATTTCGGTATACCCGGGTTCGTTATAATTTGGTTCGACACCCGAGTTGCGGAAGTGAATTACATAGCTTAAGAAATGCAGAGCGTGGCGAATACCAATAACCTTATCATCACTCCGCTGCTTATGAGATTTCAGCACTGGCCGATGACAAGGCCGAAGAGCGACTCACGAAGAAAGAAGCGTGATCATGATAGGCCATGCCCTGAGTTTCTTAAGCTGTCAGTGGCTATGCGGGCAGAAACTGAGGGAGTGGAGAAGACGAGAGCGGGCGGGGACATCAGAACGCCGAGCTTTGGTTGGAATGATTAGCGGGCGGACACCGACGTTGCGCGTTTTAACGCGTTCGAGAAGTGCAGTAGAATCAAATGCAGACATAGCTTTGCGTTTACCCTCTAATCGTTCCAACCAGAGCTCGGAGTTCTGGCGTCCCCGAACTCTCTTGTCTCCTCCTCGCTCTCAGTTTCTTCTCTAATTACATGAAGCTTCGATAAAGATTCGGCGCTTCGTGAGCCGCCTCGAGCGTGCACGCTCTGCCGAAGCACGGCGGAAGGCAACGAGAGCGTGCCATGGAGGCTGGACGTTCGATGGGGAAACGCCCTGCCGTTCTCACCTTGTCAGTGACCGTAGTGGAATTTCTCAGCTGCAGCGGAAACACCGAATTCACCACTGGAGCAGGCGAACTTACCGCCGTCTAAACATACACGCAACATGATTGTATGAATTAGTAATTCAAGGCACACCAACCATCCGGCAGAGAGGAGGCTTCTGGTTCATGCCATGCATTTCACTGTTCGTGTGTTGAACTTGTTTCTGCTCGACTACGTTACAATAGTTTTTTTGCTTTCTTGCGACCCTTGACGAACAAACAAACCGTTTTTCGTCGTGCATTAATTCGTGGTCACACTGCTTATCAGACGGCCTGCAAAGAGAGGCTGCCGCAAAGCTGCTGCGCTCCGCCAACTGTCCGCAAACTGGCCTACGACTCACTTATCCTACCAATATTAGAATATGCTGCCTCCGTCTGGAACCCCCATCAAGGCTACCTTATCAATCATCTGGAAGCAATTCAAAGCAGGGCCACTCGTTTCATCCTCTCCACGTACGATGATTCCATTAGTGTCTCCGCCCTAAAACGTCAACTAACCTTTTCTTCTTTTCAATTTCGTAGAAACGTCTCTTAGCTCTGCCTTCTTCACAAAACAGCATTATTATCACCTTCCGATCGAACATCATCTCGCTTAAACAATGCCTGTACCATCAAAAGGATCTCTGGCTCAACTAACGCTTTCAACCGATCATTCCTTCCACAAGCCATCAATGATTGGAACAGCCGCCCATCCTCGATCGTCAGCATCGTAGACCCAGACGTCTTTACGTCAAGTTTTCAATTGCACTTTTCACGTTAACCATTTTCCGAACCTTTTCTGAATGTATCTATTTTTGTGTCTGTTTTTCTTATGGATATTTCTGTGTATGCAAAAGGAGGCAGGCACGGGACTTTTTCTTTTTGCACAAATGTCTCCACTGTTTAATTGATTGCCCGAAACTAACCTCATCTGTTTCCATTGCTGTACCTGGCAGGACTCTTCGCTCCCATCGTGTTTTAGGTTATTTTGAGCAAAAAAGCTTAAGACCCATCGAACGTTTAGTGTAATTTTAACTTGTCAACTGTGATGGACATGCCCCTATGTAGATTTTTTTGCTGGAGAGTTTTAGTATGCAGCCTCTGCTAATGCTTTTATAAGGTGTGTTTTCTCGTATGTCTCTTAGCAAAAAGTGTTATCTTTAAGTCCATGCGCCTTTCCTCTTTTACATTTATACATCCCGTTTTCGTTTGCTTCACAATATGCATGCGTTTTTGTGTGCCTGCCCCTTATGCAACATTTCATGTATGTTTAAACGATGCACCTTTATGTAGGCCCCCGGGCTGTTTAGGGGCACCGGAAAAGTGCACAAAAATAAATACAATAAATAAAATATTATGAATGACCCCCGTCCCCCCTTTTATGTAATGATCTCACAGGCCCTTAAGGTTCAATAAATACATGAATAAAATTCGAATGCGAATCACCGCGAGATTTGTGCTTCGAATGCCACATGGCATTGAATTCAAGGTACGCGGCATTCAAACCATGGATGTTGCGGTAACTCGTGTCTGCAAACTGTCTTTTTTATGATGTGTGAGCAGTGTGACCCCGGCTTTAGTCAAAGGACGTCTCTTGTTACCTTGTGGAACCTTTCACTTTATCTCTGGAGTTGCGGCTCAGATAGTGTACCGTCGGCGATACGCGCTTTCACCGACCATTGAATCCGCCCATGATGTAGATGCCATCTTCGAGAACCGCGGCCGCAAAGTTGCTGCGCCCCAGTCGCATGCTTGTCCTGGTCTCCCAGCGACGAAGATCCGTTCGGTAGCGTTCAACTGCACAGGAGATGCGAACAGTTGAATGGAGCCGATCATGTTACACGCGCTCGACGTTCAGTTGTTTGCGCCTCTCTGACAAAGCCCGTGACGAAAAAAAAAAAAAATGCGTGCTGAGGTAGAAACTTGGTTTGAAAAGGAAGCGATCAGGCAAAGCTCATAGTATGCAAAGGCGGCATCAAATGAGCTTTTACTAATTTGTAACCTCACTAAATTCTGAGTGTTCTTCAAACGAAATTACGGATGCAGTTTTTCTCTCGGGCCCAATTTATAAAATGAGCATGCGCCAAGTTTTGGTTTCTTGTTTCTTTTTTTGCTCCTACCTAATGTCCCCTCGACTCACGCGGTATTTGTCCGACATGGTAGGCAATCTTTCCGTAGCAATCTTTATTGAACGATGCGAGTAGGACCATAAACAATGATAGCAACATCAATAGACAGTTTTAGTATAGCGTTGCTGGATCTTACGTACGCAATACGCAATAGTATAGCGTTCGCTAAAAATGACTTGCTCGGACCGAATTTAGTTTTGCGTTACGTTTTCGAGTGAACACCGCGCATGATCTTGGTTAAATTTGCTAGAGCCATAGAATTCCGCGTGCTTATAGTGCAACCATGCTCCTGAAAAGGAATATTGAAAAAGAAAAAGTGTCCAATCATTTTATTTCAGATTAAACCAAGCTACAGCTGCCTTGCCAAGCGCGCTTTTCTGCGGGGTACAGAGGCTACGAGTACGAGTGCGTAGCCAAATTCGATCACGGAGCCTCCGTCAGTCGTCCCATGGAAACGGCACCTTTTATCAATGCTATCGCGGAATGAAATTCATGACCCTGATGGCCATTGCATAGCGAGAACTTCGGCGATTTCTTTTAGAGTCGTTCGTCCGTCGGCGATGAACTAGGGGAATAGGCTTAGCGTTGAGCATATCGCAGCGTCGACGCACACTGCGAGCGGCGAACATTTCCACTGTGCGCTCCTTCAGCTGCAGGGCGATCTGATTCGACCGCGGTAGGTCCCAGAAAGAATCGCCGAGCTGAACACCACGCAATTTCACGTAACACAGAACTTCGAAAACAGCACGTCGCCCTTGCTGCGCCAGTCGAGGCAACCGCCATCTTGAAACTGGCGCTCTCGTTGGCTCCGAGATCTCTTGAGAGCGTCCCGCAAGGCCCGCTAGCCAGCAACGCAAAATCCCCAGCTTTGCGTGCGTACGCAATATGCTAGCCCATCTATTGCGTTCTGCGCACGCGCACTCACGACCCACAATCTCCTTGCGTACGCAAAGCTATAGCGTACGGTCCACTAAAACTGTCTAATAACTTTAGCTTTGTGCGCTCTCGTTTTGGGGCTGAAGTTCGCTCCAAAGATACCAGTGGTCACCGGGGGCTCGATCCCCACCCTCTCCTGCGCGGACGTTTAAGACCCCAGGCTAGCAGCCCACTGGCAAAATTTATCATCTATAACGAGCGAGAGACAGCGTCGCCATATACCGTGAAGGCAGACCGCATTTTGCCGTCAGAACAATCAACGTCCTATTTTATCTGCTGCCGCCTTCTTCTCCACTTGCCAGTCTGAAACGCTCTAAATATCTTTCACTTTACTTTCCTGCACAACACGGAGTCAGCCATTTGAGGCGAGCAACAGAAGAGCCTCAGCGAATGACAAAACTAAAAATACAATTAGACCTAAAAAAAAAAAATGCAATGTGCGTCGGTACAATGAACAAGTGAAACTTCATGCGCATTGTTTCTGCGCAAATTAGATTATTTTTTTCTTCATAGAAGCTCAGCGCGTTTCGCAGCTGGAGAGGCTGACGAATAGTGCCATCAGCCGCCACATCTTGGCCAGCCTTGGAATCCGCTACGAGAGACAAATGGGGGAAAAAGCCAACGTCCCTAGGCGGGTCAGGGAGGCCCTCGTCATACCAAACATCCCGAAGCAGATGCACCCGACGCATCACGCAGAACGCAGAACGGCGCTGCAGAAACGTCTAAGTATAGCAGAGGGCGTCCTCACGGACGCTGCCAGAGACGGCGGGGGCGCCATGGTCGCAACTGCGGTCAACCAACAAGAAGTGATCTCGAGCTGCAGTGCCAAGACGTCGGAACCGGAAGTCGCAGAGGAGGTGGCCATCGCCCTCGCGATCCGAGTCCGGGGGGCACGCATCGTCGTCAGCGACTCGCAACAAACAGTCCGGCAGTTCGCCAAAGGAAGAATCTCTACAGCCGCGCTCAGGGTCCTGGCCGTCCCCGAGAAGACGTCAACGAGAGTACAGCTCTTGTGGGCACCGGCGCACTCGTCGCTCCCTAGCAACGAGAAGGCATACGGCACGGCCTGAGAACTCGCACACCGGGCCGGGGCACAGCGCTGGACCCTTCTCTAGCCTCTTTGACGGGGGCGACAGGCTGGTCACGCTCAGGGACATTCTCGATCACTATGCTGGCGAGAGGTTGCGCTATCCATCCGCGCACCCGTCGCTCAAAAAGAGGACGTCGGTGGCATGGTGCCGCCTCTAGACGGGCTCCTTCCTGAGCCCCTCTCTACTCAATAAATGGTACACGACAAGTACAAGCCAAACTGCAAGCTCTGCGGCGGACACGCCAACCTTTGACACATGGTGTGGGAGTGCAGCATGATCGACCGCAAGTCCCACCCCCTACTGGAGAAGATCGACAACCAGGAGAGCTGGGAAGCCACACCCCTCTTTGCCGACCCTTCGGTCCGGAACCAACTATAGTCCAGCTGGCCGAAGACGCCGCCAGGACCCAGGGGGCTCAGGCCGCCGTCTGAGGGGTGGCTGGCGAGGCGACTCTAGGGGTCTCCCTCTCTGTCATTACCTCATGCTTGGGCAAATAAAAATTGGTTACTGCTACTACTTCGTTCAAACGCATTTCGAACTTCATAATTCCCTTGGATCCTTGTATGGTTCACGGTGGTTGGCTGTCTCCGTGTTATGCAGGAAAGCGAACCCGCAGCATGCTTTCTTTTATCATCGGTCACGCCTCTCGCTCTGTGATTCGTTTTTTGGTGGTTTTCGTCGGTTAATCAGCAACCTCATTGGCTGGGGAGCGATAATGAGATGCTCGGGGCTTAACCACGCGTTGGGTCTATTGAATTGACCGGGCCTACAGTGCGCGATGCAAACCTGTGTTGAGTCGCAGGCTTCCGTCGAAGCCCCCGATGGCGTACATGGCGTTGGCGTACTGCACCAGTCTGAACCCGCTCCGTGCGGTCAACATGGGCTCCATGTAGGTCCAGCTGTCAGCCGCAGGGTCGTAGACCTCGACGCTGCTCAGGACGCGAGTACCCGTGAAGCCACCGGCAACGTACAACTTGCCTGCGCGTTCGGAATTGGAAGATACTTCCTCGTGTACGGCCGTCTACATGCAGGCGTTCGCAATAGACAAGGCTATAAATAGGTTTCAGCGTTTTCGGAGATTATTTCTTTTTTTTTTCTTTTGCCAAAACTTGGAGGATGTTTTTTAGAGGATATTTTTACCGAAAATTGCGGGATTATTGAAGCTTTTTTTTTTTTTTCCAGACCCCAATTTTTCGATTATTACGAGTTTAAATTTGCAGTGTTCCCAATTTTTTATATTGAAAATTATAAACAGACACAAAAGAACCCTAAATTCACCTGTGTCAAATGCTATTTATTTAGTCGGACTTGGCATTGTCGCATTTTCCATTCGAAACACTAATCGTTCCACGACGAAACTTGCAAACAAGTGTGGCTTGAATAAACGTCGACACTCTAAAAATTATGAAACGCCTCGACGCAGCCACTGGGAAGCAAAGAAGCTGCGGCTGCCAGGAAGCTTCTTTGCTATTATAACAACACAACCCCTCCTCCTCTAAGAAGCACTAATAGTATGGTCTAAACTGGAAACCAGAACACTGGCTTTTTACCTTGACCCAGAAGTGCAATGACCGTTTGTCTTGAACGAACTTTGACGACCTATACGCTAAACCCCTTTTCCTCAATAGTTCGAGATTTGAAAGGAAACTGAAACTGGCCTCTCCTAGGGACCACTGACCCTGTGCTCTTACCAAGCTTACTATCTTTTTTTTTTTTTTTTTTTTTTGCCATCGTAAGCTTGAAGTTAAGAGCTTTTCGAAAAGTCCCGAATTGACAAAAAATTTATCGGTAATTGCTTTTTTTTTTCCGGATTTTGTCGTTTTTTTTTTTTTTAAACAGGATTCTATATTTGATTTCATCTTAAAGGTTTCCTGAGGAGGTTTTTCAGATCGCCTATAGGCGATCTGAAAAGCCTCCTCTGGGCAACTTTAAAGGACCTCTGACACGCAAAAAAAAATTTTTTGTTCATGCTAGGCGTTGAAATGACATGTCAGGACATTACAAAAAAATTGTTCCATTATAGAGGTGCGTAGTTTTTTTAAATAAAAAATAGAAATATGAGGCCCAATTCAAAGTTCCCGCCAGTGCACTGCGACGTAACAGTGTACCGCAAGGTGTCGGGGCGGTCAGAAGGGAGGCATCGCCGGAAGTCACGTAAGTTGTAACCCTCCTCGTGCTTACCGCAAGCACGTGTAATATTTCTTAAATATTTTTGTTATTCTCCGCACCTCCACGAGCGATATTCAAACAGACAAGGTTTCTTTTATTTGCTTTTCATCTCTTAATGTTGCTGTAAAGGTAGAAGAAGAGGAGTCGGTGAATTAACGTGATCAACTAAAATGCCTAGAAGGTGCTGTGTGAGGGACTGTCCCGGTATTTCAGCAACTGAAGAAGAGATCACACTGCATGCATTTCCGAGAGACGGCAGGCATCTTCAGCCTGGAGAGTATACGATGATTCGACGGCCTCGGTGTGCGAAGCTTCAGCAATGCAATTGGACGTGTCGTACGCTAGCAATCCTAATTTCTGCGAGCGTTCTAAATTTTTTTTTTTCAAAACTTGGTAGCTTTTTTTGTGCCCAGTATAGCTCTGTATCATCGGACTGATGGCACGCACTCGTACACTCGCAACGCTTTCATCATTGACCTCCATCACGTCGATCCACTGACTCTTCGTCCTCAACTTTTACAGCACGCAAACTAACCAACGGTGCAGCGATAAAGAGCTAGTGGTAATGAAACTTCGTTTTCTACAATCGCTCGTACAAAGAGCAGAAAATTAAAAAAAAAGTCGTAGGCACAGTCGCGGAGAGAACGAGAAGTGAAACTCACGTGACTTCCTGCGAACCCACTTTTAGTGACGTATGTCGGTGCCTCCCTTCTGACCGCCCCGACACCTTGCGGTACACTGTTACGTCACAGTGCACTGGCGGGAACTTTGCATTGGGCCTCCTATTTCTATTTTTTATAAAAAAAACTACGCTCCTCTATAGTGAAACAATTTTTTTTTGTAATGTCCTGACGTGCCATTTCAACGCCTAGCATGAAAAAAAAAATTTTTTTTTTTTGGCGTGTCAGAGGCTTTTTAAGACAATTGCATTATTATGTTCTATCACCATGAAAAATCAACATTTTTTTACTACTTTCATTTGCTTTTATCGCCTACAGAAGCATACACATTTTGTAGTAACAGCGTTTGCGTATGCAATCACAACGAAATGTCGCGTTTTCATTGGTCCCATGTCATCCTGCCTGCCGGAACAATACTCCTTCCATCGCCAGAGATGACCTTGGTCAAAGCCATATATAGACAGAGTTTGGCTAATTCAAGGAGCGGGCAGAGCCAGAGCGTGCACGAGACGCAATTAGAAGGCGTGACGTGCTCTCTTGGCCAACCAGAAGCCGAAAATAATCCCCTAGCGGTGGTAGCGAGAAGCAATTTTAATAAGCGCGTGAGAGTTAAATGGAGTAACTCTTCATGGTTGAAAATATAGTGCACGTGATGTTTGGATTATGATCGTGCAAAAAGATGTAAGAACCGAACATGCCGCTCGAACTCTCTTTTGCTCGGTCGGGGTCTGACCGCTCGGACGGCATTTTCCAGGCCCTCGGCGCCTGGCGTACGTATCACGTCGAACGTTCTCCTAGGATTCGACTTTGCATGACCGCGATCGAAAAATCACGCGCGCCATGTTTTCAGTCACCGATAGTTACTCTGACGCGCTTATTAATTTTGTTTCTCGCGACCACCGCCTGGGCATTATTCGCGACTTCTGGCTGGCCACATTCGAATCTGTGAAGACGCCATGAATCACGCCCAGCCCGCTCTCGGCCAATGGCGCCCTCCTCATTTGCCTTCTATACTTCCCAATGAATGGCCAGACTCTCTCAATATACGGTCCCGACCTCGTTGTGCTTGATTTCTTATTTCTTTATTAATAGAAAAATCGGCCGCGCATCGTTATGATATATGCATTTCTACGATGCTTAGAGCCCGCAGAGTTAGTTATCGCCATTTTTAGGCGATTTCAGAAACCCGGACACCTTTAACTCCAGACGCAGCTGACGTGCTGATGGGACCAAGCAGCGTAAAAAACACACCATATCCCGTATCGTATCAGATCAAGGCGGACAAGCTATCTGTATGCTCCATTGCCACGTGCCTTTCCCTTGCCCTCTATTACACTAACCCCTTTCCACCTTCGGCTATATAAGTAACAACACGGAATAAACCAAAGCATTGTTATCCTGATACCCGAGTTGTCTATTCTTACCAGCCCACACAAGAACGATACATGGTGTCAGAAGTGGGATTGAACCGAACGTGAAGGTCGACGTCATGGAGCACCTAAGGCTGCCTGAACCATTACAACTGACAGCTGATGGAGGAAGAAGCTGGAAACTGTTTCGTCAGAGGTTCGACCTTTTCCTTCAAGCCACAGCAAGCACCGACAAGCCGAGATCGGAGGCGGCAAAGACAGCCCTGCTGCTCAGCGTGGCGGGAGAGGAAGCCTTGGACGTGTTTAACAACTTTGTGTTCACCGAACAAGAAAACAAAGAAGACTACGCCACCGTGACTGCCAAATTCGAAGAATACTGCGTGGAGCAACAAAACGAAATTCACGAAAGATACGTCTTCCGCTCCCGTCTGCAGGGCGAGGCGGAACCGTTCGAGCAGTTTCTACGTACCTTGAAGAGACAAGCGCAGCACTGCAACTTCGGGACCATGGCAGACGAGATGGTACGCGACCAAGTGGTGTTTGGAACCAACTTGCCGAAGCTTCGAGAGAAGATGCTCAGGGACAAACACCTGACCTTGGAAAAGGTCGTCACCTTATGCAAGGCGACAGAAACGTCAGCTCGTCAAAATGAAGTCTGGCGTAAGGCAAGTGAAGAACTCGACGTTACCGCTATGAAGACCAGCAAGAACGCTCCGACAAGCCCCCGGCGCAACCCGAACTGTACGCGCTGCAATCGAAGGCATGCCTTGCGACGCTGCCCGGCATACGGAAAGACCTGCTACTCGTGCAATGGGCGGAACCACTTCGCATCTTGTTGCCGCGAGAAAGATGCCGTTTACGAGGTACAGCATGAAAACGACGACTTCGAGGTGCTGGATGTCGCAGTCGGCAGCGCCAACAAAAAACGCGACTGGCTGGTGGACGCGTGTCTTCAAGGCAAACACCTAAGTTTCAAAGTTGACACAGGGTCACAAGCTAACGTGTTACCACTATCAGTGTTCCGCAAGTTCAAGACCGTGACGCTGAAACCCAGCAGCGCTGTTCTGAGATCCTACGGTGGCAACGTCATCAAGCACGTCGGTACATTTTTATCGCCCGTGACGGTAGGCGACCGCCAGATATGCGCCGAATTTTTCGTGGTAAAGAACGGCCACAGCGCTATCTTGAGCTTGGCAGCTAGCGAGAAGCTAGGCATCGTCAATCGCGCTGTTGAAGGCGTGTCGACGAGCAACACCCAAGCAGTCTTCGAGGAATTCCCGCAGCTTTTCCACGGAACCGGGCGTACCCCGAAAGAATACGAGATGGTGCTATACGCAAGGACGCCGTGCCAATCGTTCAGCCAGCTCGAAGGGTTCCCCTGTCGCTGCGAGAGCCTCTTCGTGCAGAACTGGACCGAATGGAACGCGAAGGCATCATTCAGAAGGTCAGCAGCCCGACGGACTGGGTAAGCCCGTTAGTCATTGTACTAAAAAAAGACAGCAAGTTGCGGGTATGCATGGATCCCAGAAGGATTAATGAAAACCTGAAAAGAGAACACTACCAAATGCCTCGTAGAGAAGATATTGAAGCGGACTTGGCAGGCGCGAAGTTTTTCTCGCGTCTAGACGCAAACGCAGGGTTTCACCAAATCCCACGGGACGAGCAATCATCCAAGATATGCACAGTTGCCACGCCGTTCGGCCGTTATCGCTTTCTACACCTTCCATTCGGCATAGCGTCAGCTAGTGAGGTGTTTCAAAAAGCCCTCAACGAAGTGTTCGAGGGCCTTCCTGGCATACGTGTATACGTGGACGATGTGCTGATCTGGGGTGCGACTAGGGCGGAGCATGACCAGAGGCTGCACGATGCACTAAAGGCAGCTGAAGCAGCGGGCCTAACTTTTAATGCAGCCAAATGCCAATTCGGCGTTCAAGAAATTTTGTTCCTGGGCGACATCATTAGCCACAAAGGCATTAGCCCCAATCCCGCCCTTGTGGACGGTCTTCTCAAAATGCCGAAGCCACAAGACAAATTGGCAGTACAAAGGTTGCTCGGGGTTGTTAACTATTTTAGCAAGTATCTACCGTCACTTTCCCAGCGCACTTCGACTCTGCGTTCCCTGATCAAACAGGACGTAATTTTTTGAATGGACACCTAATCATGAAAACGAGTGGCAAGCCATATGTCAGGAGCTAAGCGAGGCACCGCTGCTTGCTATTTTTGACCTAGGTTTGGAGACGAAGATAACTTCAGACGCATCTCAAAGTGGCATTGGCTCCGCACTCTTACAACGTCATGGGGACTGCTGGAAACCGGTCGCTTACGCGTCGAGAGCGCTGAGTGAATCGGAACAGAGATATTCGCAAATTGAAAAAGAGGCTTTGGCGTTGGTTTTCGGTTGCGAAAAGTTTAACCATTTTGTGTATGGTCGCCCACTGATACTCGAGAGCGACCACAGCCCGCTGATAAACATATCTAGGAAAGGCATAGCCGATATGCCGCCAAGAGTGCAACGTTTTTTCCTACGATTGCTCAAATACGATTACACGTTGATATTTGTTCCTGGCAAGCAGATGGCCCTGGCTGATATGCTTTCTCGATCTCCTGCTCCTGGGAACAAGGGGGCCGCCGACACGGGCGACGTAGAAATTCACGCTGTCACAGTCGTATCAGCACTCGTAAGTGAAAAAACTGCTGCGAAACTTGCACACGAAACCGCTACTGATCCGTATCTTAGCGTAGTACTACGAAAGCTCGGGAGGGGAGACGAAGTGGAAGGGGCGCTGAAATCAGTTGCCGCCGAACTTTCAGTAGTAGACGGCATACTTTTGAAAGGAACGAAAGTAGTAATTCCCACGAGCATGCGCAGAGAGATGTTAAAGAGGATTCACGCAGGCCACCTTGGCACGGTAAAATGCAAAGCTAGGGCTAGGCAATTAGTCTACTGGCCGAACATAAACTCTGACATCGAGTCGTTGATGATCCAAAGCTGTCCGACCTGCAGAACATATGCCTATAAGCAACCATCAGAGCCTCTGATTCTACAACCAACGCCCACTCAACCATGGTACCGTGTCGGTGTCGATCTCTTTCAGTATTCCGGAAGACACTATCTGTGTGTTTACGATTCGATGTCCAATTTCCCGGAGGTGGAGCTCCTACCCGACACAACAGCCACCTCGGTTATTGATAGACTGAGTGCTATATTTTCGAGATACGGCATCCCAACGGAGGTATCAGATAACGGCCCACAGTTTAGCAGCCACGAGTTCGCGCTGTTTGCAAAGCATTACGATTTCAAACATGTGAAATCCAGCCCGCAATACCCCCAATCTAACGGGCTCGCGGAAAAGGGTGTACAAATAATCAAACGCATCTTAAAGAAAACGAGGATCCCCATGTGGCGGGTTCGAATCCCGGCCGAGGTGCCCGCAATCTGACGGAGGCTTATTGCGGAGAAGGCGCCGTGTAACCGAGCTTTCGGTTGCACGTCAAAAGATCCCCAGGTGGTCTAAATTAATCCTCAGTCCTCCGCTGGGGCGTGCCAGATGCCCATTGTTGGTTTGGCACGTAAAACTCCCAAATTTGACTTTTGACTTTGTCTTAAAGAAAACGAAAGCTGCAAACGAATGCTTTTGGCTTGGCATATTAAATTACAGGGCATGTCCTGTCGAAGATGGTCGGTCTCCTGGCGAGCTGCTGCAAGGAAGGCGGCTGCGCACACCCGTGCCGGACTTCGATCCCCTTCCTGCGATACGGGTCAAGAAACACCGACAGACAGGCCACAACGAGCGGGTGCTGCCCCGCCTTAAAAACGACGACGTGGTACGCCTGAATGGAGCGTCATGGGCGCGGAAAGCCAAGGTAGTTGGATCAGCCGGGCCGCGGTCCTTTTACGTGCGTACGGAGAATAATACCGTACTTCGGCGCAACCGTCGACACCTTTTAGCGACGAAGGAAGACTGCGAGGTCGACTTGTCAGACGACGAAGATTCGGACAACGACCGAGCCTCATCACACGGAATGACATCCCCAGCGCCAACCATCACGACGGCTCTACAAACGGCAACTACGACGACTCCACAAACGGCAGCTCAGCAGCCAACGGTTCAGCCACCGCGAAGGACAACACGACAGAAGCGGCCTCCGGAGCGATTGGGTTATGACGAGCGCTTCCAGCAAACGAGCCAGAGGTGTTGAGCTGAGCGGTGAACGACCGTTGGGAAGGAGGATGTATCGTATCAGATCAAGGCGGACAAGCTATCTGTATGCTCCATTGCCACGTGCCTTTCCCTTGCCCTCTACTACACTAACCCCTTTCCACCTTCGGCTATATAAGTAACAACACGTAATAAACCAAAGCATTGTTATCCTGATACCCGAGTTGTCTATTCTTACCAGCCCACACAAGAACGATACACTCCTAGGATTCGACTTTGCATGACCGCGATCGAAAAATCACGCGCGCCATATTTTCAGTCACCGATAGTTACTCTGACGCGCTTATTAATTTTGTTTCTCGCGACCACCGCCTGGGCATTATTCGCGACTTCTGGCTGGCCACATTCGAATCTGTGAAGACGCCATGAATCACGCCCAGCCCGCTCTCGGCCAATGGCGCCCTCCTCATTTGCCTCCTATACTTCCCAATGAATGGCCAGACTCTCTCAATGTACGGTCCCGACCTCGTTGTGCTTGATTTCTTATTTCTTTATTAATAGAAAAATCGGCCGCGCATCGTTATGATATATGCATTTCTACGATGCTTAGAGCCCGCAGAGTTAGTTATCGCCATTTTTAGGCGATTTCAGAAACCCGGACACCTTTAACTCCAGACGCAGCTGACGTGCTGATGGGACCAATCAGCGTAAAAAACACACCATAATGGAGTTCATCATGTTTTTGTATACGTGTTCCATCATCGCTGAACCAATCACAAACCTAAAAGGCCTGTAGTGACTTGCGCTTTTGACGGTGCTTGACTATTCTTATTAGTTCGTAGTGTCGGCAGCGTCTGAGCTGAAACGAGGTACAGTTATACGCTTTACTGCTACGAGGCTATTTTGGAAATGAGCGTGTTAATGTTGATTGCAAAATCAAACTTTGTCGATGCGTGCAGTATGTAATAGACCGATCTCACTAAGCGTTCGGCGCATGCGTGACGCCGCCGTAACTTTAGTTCACAGGAAGCAGACGGCAGTACACGAGACGGCTCGTGCTGTCTCGTGCTCTGCACGCCAAGAGCTCCAGCGGGGTTGTCGCGCGTGCAAAAAGACTAAAATTCCCTCAATGCACTCCGGCAGCGGTGGCGTAGTCAAACTGGCTGGTGAGATAGGTCTATTAATGGTTTGCAGAAACACAAACGCCCACAATGTTCTTTTTTATTTATTTATTTATTTAACAATACTATCATTCCTTGGAAGGAATACAATAGGAGCGGCACAAATGAACACATAATGAACAATGATGTTCGGTCTGCTGTCTTCTGGCCAAAAAAATATATATATATATAATTTTTGGTCGCTTTGGAAGTTACTTTGCTTTTACGTTCTTCATAAGAGAGTTAATGGCTGCGTATCTGCGTTTGCCATAGATTCGACGTACGAAGAGTTTTGGCGAGTATTTTTTACCGCGGGCATGGCGTGTGGATTTTGGACAACAAACACTTTTAGATGTACAATATTATTTGCATTTCAAAATGTCAATGTATGAAGAAAAAAAATTATATTATTTATTTATATTCGTATCTTTGTTTTGTGGACAACATACCGAGCTATTTACATCGGAACCATTTTATATTTCTGCCGCAGGTGGAAAATACTTGAATGGTATAACGCAAGCACGGAAAAGCGATTTGTGAAGTTTGCGAACTGCGCCCTCAAACACATATAGGGAATGGTCGGCTAGGAAAGTGGAATTCGTGAACATGCGCATCGATCATAGAGCCTCTCATCGATCTTGGAGTAGGTGATCCATCATCCAAGGAAAAGTGCCCAGACAGAGAGGTTTGCTTTTCGTCTCGCATCAGGAATCGGAAGCCTGTCGGAGAAATTGCGAAGTACCAGCTATACGCGGAAAATTCCCGCACGTCGACGTCCACCCGGGTCCGTCGAAATGTCGTTTCTGAACATTCTGACCCACGCTCTTGAAGACTGTTCGGAGCGGGCCATGACTCGTGAAGATATGATATGTCGAGAGCAGATCGAGAAGGAATGAAAGGAGCTGTGCACTATACCACGAATCTGCTCTTTCTCGCGTGAGCTGAAACGTGGTGGCGCCAGTGTGCAAATAGTCCCCAACCACTTCCGGTTATAAAAAAGACGGCGGGTTTTGCAGTATTTGCGGAATCAAGAATACACGCTGTCTTGTGAAAATGGCCACTTATCACCGTCGGACTCAATTCACACTTGTCATAAAAGAATGACGAGTAAAAAATTAAGAAATACACTTGAACCGGAAGTATGCCGTGGCTACACGATAGATGTATAAACACAGGAACCAAAAAGCTCGAGAGATAGTTGAAGCTCATAGAATAAAGAAGGAGGGGTCAGCCTGCGTGAGTCAGGCTTCCTTGAATTTGCTGGACAATGAGGTCGAGTTTTTAGATCGGGGATGACGTATATAACATTGTGTAACTGATAGCACCCAATTTTGTGAGGCGCATGCGCATTTACATCGAGATTAGAGAGTCGTGTTGTCGTATATTTTTCTTCGTGGGTTCCTGAGAATAAACCTTTCAGTTGTTAGTCAGCGCTCGTCCTGTCCAGTTCCTTCCTCTGTCCTTGCAAAAATTCGCGCTGTTCCATTATGAACACAATAGATAACCCCACTAAGTTTGTTGCCAAAAAAAAAAAAAAAAAAAGGGGGGGGGGGCGAATAGTACAAGAATTGCGTGCACACGCGTGCCGTGAACGCCGCATTAGAGAACCGATTTATGATGTGCCCCGACAACGAAATGATAAGCAGCACTGTATAAGGGTGGCAGCATCACGCGATTTTTGACGTACAACTACGTCCTTTTCCGCGCATGGAAAGGGGTGCAAAGTCGGGAGGTCGACGTCACGAAAACTTGGTCACGAAAGTGACATCAGACAGACGCCTGCTGCCGAGAACCGCTCAGTGCGCACGCGCGTCCTTTCTCATCTGCTGGCTCGCTCGTTAGGTCGCTTCAACGCGACGCGCCCCTGTCTGATCGATATGGCGATAGATGCCGCGCCGGCAGCCGTGATCTTAGAGTGCCTTCATACACACGCGCGCTTTTCCTTGAGTGGTGACATCTCAGCCATTTGTCCGCCCAATCGTTTTTTTTTTTATGCTATTTGAAGTGCGCGCAATCCGGTGTCACTCAGCTCGAGCGCGTAGCTTTGGCTAATGCACAGACGCCATTTTACCGCCCAAGTCACGCACCGAGTGCGCGAGAGTGTCACGCGCTGGCACATTCAGGGCAACAATGGATGTCTTCACCCTGAGACAGACAGACATGTAGGCACCCTACGTGATCTCACACTCTTCTCTCATCGCTCTAAACAGCGGCCAAGCGGCCGAGCTCGCGTGTTCTGGGCCGTTCACGTGAATCTCTCGCGCAACTCGGCGTAACGCTGCCCTCCCCTCCCCTCCCCCCCCCCCCCCCCCCCTTCTCATTTCTTGAACCACCACTTTAGTCTTACCACCCACACGTTGTTTTAAGGAAATTTATGCAGCATAATACACCTATCCATTGAGCAATTGTTTCTCTGCGTGATTGGTTTAGCCGGCGATAGCACACGAACGAAGACGACGAGGACCGTGACGGTGCAATTTTTGTACTGCTTGAGTGGGTCCATCAAATCGTAGCTTTAGCTGCGGTTGGACTTAATGCGAAACGGAGTAAAACAGCTCAAAGGGATACTCTAATGATATTTGAGTTCCTGACCTATTTATATGTTATTACCTCACTAGTGGTTCGGGCTACCCGGGTAACAAGTAGAAGCCACGAAATATTAATGCATCAAAGTTTAATTCGATCAGGCAAAACAGCTCAACGTCAGTGGTGATACAGTGTGTTGAAAACGCGCGAAAAAGCAACACGGTCGGCAAAAGCCGTGAGAATGTTTTTTTTGTTTTTTAGATTTTGTTATGCAGGCTAATAACCCGTATCGCTTCGTAAACTACCGTTATTCTTTCAACAAATTTAGCGTTTTTATTGTGCGAAAAATATGGGAAATGGAAAAAAATATATTTCGAATGTGCAGAAATGAGGGTAAACAATTCCCAGGAGACCTAAGCACTTCTTATGAGTTGCGAATGTGAAAGTATTCTCGGCGTCAAGAGGAGCAGAAGTAGCCGCAGCGCCGGCAGGGAGTGCGGCGGTGCGCCGCGCAGACCACCCTGGCTCGCTGGTGACTACTGCGCCGCCGAGTGAGACATCGGCGGCAGTGCGAAGCTCGGCACGGCGCGTGCTGAAATCACGTGTCCTCTCACCATCATCATCGCCCTAGCTGCGGGTACCGGTTAACGACGTTATACCTCAATGTGTAACGTTCGGCCTAACGTCAGGCCAGCGCATACCCGCGTGCCCCCTCACGTCAAACAGCTGCGCATAGCGGTTGACGACGTTAGACCTCAAAGCGTAACGAAAGGCCTAACGTTAGGCCTAGTGTCAGGCCAGCGCATACCCGCGTCCCCCCTTCCCGCTGCGCCGCCAGCAGTTCGGCTGGCTCCTTAGCAACGATGACGCCGTTCTCTGGAGCAACATGACGCATCGCAGCCATTGGAAATTAAGGCGCAATTTCGCTCAGCCAATGGGAATTCAGATGCCGTTTTTCGCTGCTACAGACAACGCCAGATTCCCTCCATAAAACAATTAGTGCTTTCGCATCAAAAAAACAACAACAACAAATAAACAAGACATACCAGTCTCCCAGTGGCGGAACGAGCCACAAGAGTCGGTGCGCATGCGCACTAGCGCTGCTATCGCATCGAGGTGATGGACCGATGCCCAGTTAGACCACGCGCGGGAGCCCGGTCGCGCGGTGGCAATCAGTTCATCGGACGATGTTTCATCGACAGATCGTTTTATTGACACGCTATGTTTCATGGAAAGATTGTTTCATCGACAACCCAGATTAGTTTTTTTGTTTGTTTTGCAATTAGTTGCATCACACTGTCGCCGCGAAGCGGCATTTAGGGGTGGGTCAGGTGGGTTACATTTTTGCAATGAG